TTCTTTGAATAGCTCCCAACTATTATGACTTTATTACCATCTTTAGCATCGATCTACAGGCTCTGGACCAATCCCATGTGTAGGTAGAGGAAGTTTAAAGGAGATTTAAATTATCTCTCCAGTTTCAATGACACTTGGGGCTGGGAGCTGATTCTGTGGCTTAGTCCTATCTTGCCTAAGGCCTGAACCTAAATCACAACTTGTATAAAGAGCTCTATTTTTTTTCCTAAACTTCAGACTCTGACTTGATAATGGGTCAGGTGCCCCAGGCCTTCTAGATTTGTCATTTTTAATCCTTTTTGGTCATGAACTCCTTTGAGATTCTGATAAAAGTGCTATTTATGTCTGCACATATTCTCAGACTCACATACCCTCCTCAATTTGAAATACAGTTTTAGGGTTTTTTTGAACCCTAAGGCCCACCTAGGAATGGGATCCCCAAATCTTGTAGGATTTTGTGTCACATATAGTGCACCTAAGCAGAAATCAGCTCAGCTGAAGTGGTACCCTAAAACACATGCTACTGATCTCATCTGCCCTTGGGGCACCAAAATCTTGTGAGCAATAGTCAGGTAGAGTCCACCCAGGACAAATATTTGTCTAAAGTAATACCCAGAGAGGCTCTTTGACTTATAACTTTATGAGAAAAATAAAACTATTTGCTGAGCATGAGTGAGCATTACAGAAGGAGAACAATACAGAGTTTACTATATTGATAAGACCTTAATTGCACAGAGTGAATTACAGAGCAGCAAAATTCTGATATGTACTTTCAGTTCTGCACTAAGGAACTTTTGAACTCCTATATTCACAGTGGCTAAAAGAATTGTGACCTGTGTTCTACAGACTAATATAAGCTCAACCATGAAATATTTGTTAAATGCTGACTGTGTGTCAGGCCCCAAGCTAGGTTTTATAGATAAAAATATGAGTGAGGAGCTCAAATATAGTACAGGAGAAAGATGTGTAAATAAATAATAGTAAAAGTACTGCTACTTTCTAAGTGTAGGCACTGTGTTAATGGTGTCACATATATTACTTCACCAAATCTTCAAAACAATTCTAGAGGCTGGCTTATTATTACCCTCATTTTATAAATGAGGAAACAAAAAACATAGAGAAATTGAGTAAATGGACCATATACCATGGTGGAACTGAAATTCAGACCTGAGTCCAAGGAAGACCCAAGTTTTGGGGACCCTCTGACATATGGAATACCCTTCATACCCATTAGTTGGCTATTATCAAAAGCCAAGCAAAACAAAACCAAAAGAACAGAAAATAACAAGTGTTGGCAATGATGTGGAGAAATTGGAACCTCTGTGCATTGTTTGTGGGAATATAAAATGTGCAGCCACTGTAGAAAATGGTATGGTGGTTCCTAAAATATTAAATATAGAGCTACCATATGATCTAGCAATTCCACTTCTGGGTATAAACCTAAAAGAATTGAAAGCAGGAACTTGAACAGATATTTGTACACCCATGTTCATAGCAGCTTTATTCACAATAGCCGAAAGGTAGAAACAACCCACATGTCTGTTGACAGATGAGTGGATAAGCAAAACATAGTATATACATACAATAGATTATTATTCATCCTTTAAAAGGAATGATACAACATAGGTGAACCTTGAAGACTATGCTAAGTGAAAAAAGCCAGACACAAAAGGACAAAGGAATAATACAAATATAATTCTACTAATAAGAGGTACATAGAATAGTCAAATTCACAGAGCTGGAAAGTATAATAGTGGTACCAGGGGCTGAGAGAAGAGCAATTGGGGAGTTACTGTTTAATGGATATGGAGTTTCAGGTTGAGAAGATGAAAAAGGTCTGGAGATGGATACAGTGGTGACAGTTGTACAATAATGCGATGTACTTAATGCCACAGAACTGTACACTTAAAATGGTAAATTTAATTTTTTCACAAAAAAGAATACAAAATTAATAATAAAAATTAGTTACTAAGGTGAATATGTACTCAGGACAAAAAAATCATAACAAACATTAAAAAATTTAGCAAATATCAAAACATCACAAAATCCAGAAAAATAATACAGTATTTTATATTAAACTGCCTGATACAACTCTGTAATATCTTTTCCTTACATTTTTGTTTCATAACCTTCAGTTACCTCTTCATATGACAAAAAGTATATCATTTTCTATAGAGAGAATAGAAAGATAATTTAGTCTTCCAGCCTGGTTGATTAAATTTTTTGGTTATTGATAATGGGATGCATAAAACTTCACACACATTTGAAGTTCTGCTTCACACTTGTGCCTTACAAGCAGGATTCTCATAAATTTAATTTTGTATTATTCCCATCAAAAAATATGATGTGGTTTTAGTTGTATATAAAGCACTATCAGATCTATTCCTAAGTGGAAAGAATTTCTGTCTTGACTAGGATGAGAACCAAATTCTCTGTCTACAATTTTATATATTTGGTGATTGAAATTTTTTTCCGACAGTCTGCTCTGTCTCTACATTTCACAGTCTCTCTTCCACAGTCTACCAATTTCCAGAGCTGGGAGCTATTAGAACACTTTTGCATTTTGATAAGACTTTGGGCTCAGCATGTTTGTTTTGGCATAGTGGATGCTACCATAATGGCTAGCAATAAGTTATCAATATACAGAAATGACTGTGAACCACATAAATATATCACATTAAACCCAAACTAAAATTCAACATTCCCTCATCTGGATCTCAAAATACCTGCAGCCTCTCTAACAACATCTGACACAGGAAACCTGATGATAGTGAGATGTCAAAGTATAACTGTGGTTAAATACCTTTTGTAAATTTTATGTAAACATATGTCCACCTGTAGACATTTCTAGGGCTTTTCCAGGATCTTGGAAGTGGGTTCAAGCAAGTGGAGTGTCCTGAAGCTTAAGCATCATATTTTCACATTAACACCACCTCTACCCAAGTCTCAACGCTTTTGCTTCTCAAAACAATACTATTCCACCGCAGACAGTTATAAAGTAGTGAGGCAAAGGCAACAAGAGAAACCTAACTAGATGTTAAAGTCACACCAACAAAGGACACATAGAACAGCCTGGGTCAAGGAAGGCTTTGGAGGAATTCACCTACCTTGTGCTGACCTTTACTAGGATAGCACTGTCGTATTTCAAGCCTTTCATCTCCACTTTCAGAAAATTAACACTAAGCACCTCTAATTCCACATCTTGCCCACCTGCCTTATCCTGCCCAATGGTGCCATAAAAGATCTGTTTACTCCTTTTTTTTTAAAGAAAGATTTATGTTTAGAACACATATTTACAACAAATTAAAAGATTAAAACAAATGTTGGCATGACAGAAGCAAAGAATAAAATAGGCAAAAGTTCCCAAGGCAAGAGCTCCATGCTTTCAATGGATTTATGTCTTTTCAAGAGGTATAAGATGCATGGTATTGAGGGGATGTTTGGATAAGATGGATGAACTGCAGCCAGGAACTCCAAGGTACAGTGGAGACTCCCGTACGATGACTGTATCCTGGCACCTGCTAGCCCAAACCGCAGAGACGGAAGGGTGTATGTAGGTGAGCTACAGATCATGAGCTCGATGCAACCCTAGAGGTAATATTCTAAAATAAGTATCAAATTGATTGTGTTAATCAGGTAGGGAATAGTCAATAAAATGACAATAGGGTTATTGATAATGAATAAGATACATAAAGTATAAAAACATGCAGACTCCAATCATGCAATAAAGAGATAAATTTAGTCAAGTGGTGAAGAATATTAGCCTGTAGAGGGAGTATCGACTAACAAATCAGACAATTAAAAGTTGTAAAAGAGATTAACATTAAAAACTGGGGAAAGATACACATAATGTACAAGGTTGTACAAAATGGTGTGAGCTTGAAAAGTTCCATTGCCTCAAGGACACACCCACATGTTGACCTTTGGCTCATGAGGAGGCCCCCTGGCCCTGGGTAATACCTAACTGTGTCCCTGCTCCTCTCTCAGATTTTTTTTTTTTTTTTTTTTTGCTGTACGCGGGCCTCTCACTGTTATGGCCTCTCCCATTGTGGAGCACAGGCTCCGGACGCGCAGGCTCAGCGGCCATGGCTCACAGGCCCAGCTGCTCCGCAGCATGTGGGATCTTACCGGACCGGGGCACGAACGCGTGTCCCCTGCATCGGCAGGCGGAATCTCAACCACTGCACCACCAGGGAAGCCTTCAAATTCTTTAATTGACATTTCAACCTTGACCCTGATCTTCTGATACAGTAACCTCAGCCCAACGAGATCATATGTCTCTACTCTCTATTTTAGTCAGCGACTATGCAAAACAGTGAAAACAGTAAAGTTGAAATTAATAAAACCTACAGCATTAACATGTTTGTATTGAGTTTAGGAATATTTTAACCATTGAAATAATCTATGAAATATTATTTTTAAGGTGCTCAAAACAGTAAATAGAACTTGACATTTTAGAATATTATATATAAGAGCCATTTTATTTCAAAGGTATAAGAGAACTTTCTTAAGTTTCTACAGTGTTTAAACATTTAAGAGAACATAATTTACTAATGCATACATTTGATTTATTACTTTTACCAGAGTTACTTTAATTATTAGAAAAGTCTTCCCCCCACCCCTACCCTGGCCTTTAACTTGTCAAGTGTGTAAAAGACTAACATGTCAGGCATTTGAAATATTTGAGAGACTCCAATAAACTAAATTTATAATTCATATATTTTAAAATATTTAAAGCAACTTTTAGTTAACCAGGCCTATCAATTCCATTGTATGTTTAGGGGAATTAACATTAGATTGAATATTCATCAAGGATTAAGTATAATTTGTATATTCCACCTAAAAATAAAAAAGCTTTAGAAAAAGTAGTTTTTAAACTTGGCAGCTTTAATATATTAAATGGTAATTAAAGCCTATGTAGAACTATATTTTATAAGATTTAAAGATTCCTTTGGTGGTGGGACACAACACACTGAAAGGCAGAACTTTCTGTTACTTACAGCTCCGAAGGAGGGAAGGCTGCCAGGCAGGGTGACACAGTGGGTTGTACCTGGAGACAATGTAACAGCAAGCTTGAGCTGTAGGTGCAGGTAATGTATGGCAAGCAGGGTGGGGTTAGCTAGGTTTCCCGGGCTCTCTATGGATTGGCTAATTTTAATAAGTTTGGTGGGCCCTGGGGCATGGGCTTGTCCCCTAGTTGTCTGGTACCTGGCCTGGTAGAGATTAGGATAAGTGTATAGTGGCCCCAGAGTGTGTGAGCCTGATAAGGAAAGTGGTTGAGGTGTGGACTTAATCAGTTGTTCAAGAAGGGGAGCTGTCTAGTCTCTAGCCAGGGCCTCAAAACTGAGTCAAGACAGCACAATAAATTAAAAGTTTATTAAACTAAAATTAAAAATTTTGTCTATACCTATATATATCTCAGTTGAGCCCTTAATGTTTTTTTTTTTTTTTTTTTTTTTTTTTTTTGAGCCCTTAATGTTTTGACATCAGTTTTCTTTTTTTTTAAAATTGTAGCATTAGTTTTAATTGCAAAACATCAAAAATAATATGAATCCCATACTTGAGATGTTATATTATGAAGTTATACAAAAAAAGAGCATGATGTGTATGAATTATTAATTATTTGTGATTTTCAGCATATACTGTTGTTTTTGTTTTAAAAAGTAAAGTTAGCTTTTTTTTTTTTTTTTTTTTGCAATACGCGGGCCTCTCACTGTTGTGGCCTCTCCCGTTGCGGAGCACAGGCTCCGGAAGCGCAGGCTCAGCGGCCATGGCTCACGGGCTTAGCCGCTCTGCGGCATGTGGGATCCTTCCGGACCGGGACACGAACCCATGTCCCCTGAATCGGCAGGCGGACTCTCAACCACTGCGCCACCAGGGAAGCCGTAGCATGCTTTTTAATGTCAGAAATTAAGAGGAAATATGCATGTACGCATGTTTGTTTATACATATATAGTCCTTATTTTTGCAAATGAAAACTAGAAAGGTATTATAATAAGAAATTGGTTACCAACAGATGGTGATTTGTAGATAAGGAGAAAGGAGTGAGGAATGAATGACACTTCTTTACATGTGTGTTTTGCATAATTTTGATTTTGGAATTTTTAAATATGCGTATTAATAAAATAAATTAACTCAACAAAACTGGAGAAAAAAGTAAAATTGAATGTAAATATAAAAAACCCCAAGTGTATTTCCAATGAACAACACCTCACATAGAAAAAAAAAAACAAAAACAAATAATTTTGAACACAGCACTTTGACTATATTCCCTCAGTCTAAGGGTAAAAAGAACTTAAAAAATATTGAGCCCTAATTAGTAAGCTTTTTGTTCACAGTGATAGGGGTGTAATAATTCTGAAACTGCATTGTGTGTTTTATAGGACTGAGTAAATGAAAAAATATATTGATTGACATCAGTTTTGAGCTCAATTATTTTGGGTATTTGAGTGGCCTGAATAGCAGAGGAGACCTCTAGAGAGTAGGATATAAGTTGCCCTAAACAGCACAGAAAACATTTCATTATGACAGTAAAAAGGAGGAAATGAAAGCAGAAGCAAGAAAAATATGAAGAGTCCCTAAAGGCTGGTTTGCAGCCAGGCTCCACGTTTGTTTGATGTTAACCAGAAGAATAAATCAGTCATGAAAGAGGCCTCCAGTAATATTTTGGTTGAATTACAGAGTACGCTAAAGGCACAAGTTATGCTTTTTAGGATGTTGATTTTGTGGTCCAGGCTTTCTGTTGAGTGGACACTAGATTAGTGTTCTTATCCCATGTACAAAGGGAGGTATTAATAACATCACAAACTTCTTCTTGACAAGCTAGGGCAAATCTATTGTCAAAAACTATTTTTGCCAGGGTTCTCTGGTCTTGATTAAGCAGGCTTAATATTTGTTGTACTTTAGAAATATGAAATACTAGAGTTTCAGACATTGGTAGATTAGTTTCAATGATTTTTGACTGTTGGGTTAGAGCAATGGCCTAACCATGTGGCCATTCCAGCAAGTCCCAGAGTAGTGGCGAATCCCAATATTACAGGTATAAATGCTGCATGTCGATGATGCTTGGCCAGGGTCAGGAAAAATTATTAAAGTTTATATAAATTGAAGATCCTTAGAGGTTGGAGTTCATCCATGTGTCTTGTGGCTGGGAGGTAATGGAAGGGCAAAGTAGAAGAGATGAGACCCTCGTTCGTAGGACCACAGTGTAGTTCTGTGCTGTTGCCTTTAAATTGAAAAGTTGTACCTTGATTTTGATAAATGGTAACTATCAAAGAATGGGACTGGAGGAAGACAGCAATTTTTGCTGAGTATATGTTGAGGGTCAGTAGCGCCTACATGGTATGTACTGAGGAAATATGACAGCAGTGACTTGCCATGAGGGAGCGCTCCAGAATCAGGGGAGATGGCTACTTCCCAATATTTTCCTTCTCTGGGCCAGATATCACCTGAATAAATGTGTGGTGTTGTATATGTGGAAGCAGATTGATAGCAAGTCTGACAGTTATGGGTAGTCAGTGCCTGAGAGGCTATTTCAGTCAGATGTATGCCTATGTTAGATGTGTAAATATTCAAGAGTCTAGGGTATTGGTTTTGCATTTTACTTGCCTTATAGTCCTTTAGAGGGAAAGAGGCATAGACACTTAGGCATAGACAGACTAAGGTGTGGGTGTGGGTGCTGAAAACTGTGGAGGGGGAGGGGAAGAGGATGAAGGGGAATGCATGGTTTGAACACTGAGAGGCCAGCAGAATTCTCCTGTTAAATCTAGGAGAGCACACAGTGTGGATACTTTGGTAAGGCTGCCCTTTAGAAAGGAGCGGTGGATGGTATTAGAGCAACCTGAATCTTGGGAGCATTGGGAAGATATTGGACTTGGTCCCATAGGGGCTTAGCATGGTATAGGTTGAATTATAATCATAGGGATAGAACTTATTGTTTTACAAGTATCAAAATGTAGAGTTGGGTCATGCAACAAGCAAATTGCTATATCTGGAAAGTCACTCCAGTCTGGTGGGTCCCACCTTTTATAGCAGGACTCAATAGTAATAAATCATTGGAAAGTCAAGGGTCTGGGTCTTCTGTGGGTGGTGAGGCTTCCCCAGTTCTGGTGTAGTTGGGACTCCTGGTAGTTGGTTGAGAGGCAGAGGTGAAGTCATCTCTTGGGCACTGTGATACTGCAGTATCCTTCCCATGTAGATATGCACTCATGTTGCGGTGGGTCATATCTTTGTGGCTCTATGGTTTTAAACTGAGGCTGAGCAGCTTGTAGAATTTGAAGATAGTGTTGGACCCTGGAAGCTTCATTTTCAAATATCTTTTAAGTCAAAAGTTTTGTGGGTGCAGAGCTAGCATGATGCTGGCATCCATGATACTGCTGTCATTAGAGCAAAGTGCCAGAACATGACAGGCATAATTAAAGCTCCACTTAAAAGTAGCTGAATCTAAAAGTTCTCAGTTGTCCAAGGTTTTGCCCAGATAGGTGATGAGAGGAGTTCTGCTGCAAACAGGTTTTAAATCATAAGGCCTGATTTGGGTCCATGTGGTTAATAGGCTTTTAGATGGTTTGACAATTAAAATATCCATGGCTGAGGTTGGAGCTCCAGTATTAGCTTCAGACAAGCCCCCCAATTTAACCAATTACTATGGGGTTTTTGTCTCAGTTATTTTTTTCTTGGTTGGTGTTGGGCAAGCCATTGAGATTTGGGGCTACAGGGTTTGCATTATTGAAATTCAATGGCATTGGGCCTCAGAATTTGCCATATTTGGATGAAATAATGGCTTATTTGGAGGGCTTGTGTGTCTGGATTGCAAACCAATGAAAGTACCTAAACCCATAATAAGACCAAGATCCAACAGAATGATGTACAGCTACATCTTAAAGGTTTTTTGTTGCTTGGTGTTTCTGTCTGGCATGAATTATTACCAAGGAGGGGGTTCTGGTTTTATCATGATGGGGTAGAGTGTTGGTTCTAACATTATTTTTAAGTGTGATTTTAATTTATCAAGTGGAATTGCTCATCTCCCTTCTTGGTAGTCCATATCATCTGTGGAAATGGCCCTGGAGCAATAATTTCAATTTCCTTGAGGGGTTGAGACTGAAAGGCTGGATTAATCATCCATTCATTATAGCTTGAATAGTATAGAAAATTTTTAGGTGATGGAAATTGAGGTTCAAATGGGTCCCCTAGCAAGTGGTTGCATGCTGAGCCTGTAGGACAACCTATCATGGATGGGTCAGCTTGTTCACTGAAAAGAGCCTCAGTACTGTTGGCCTTGTTATGAGCAGGGACATAGGTGACCCAGATTTTAAGACAATGCTCATCAGCTCTTGCCAAATGGATGGCCCCTATGGCTCATTATCCTGGATAATGAAATTGTTCTTCTTCTATTGGCCAGACCAAAAGCAAGAACTTTGGCTATTACCCAGGAATTTTATAAAAGTTGTTGGTCTTTGAACATTACGTGGGGTGATAGCCAACCTCTGACTTGAAACCGAGTCACCGTGGCATCCAGGTCTTCCTGGATGACCTTTAGTAATTGAGATTTTAAGAGAATATCACATATATAATGACAGCGGTGAGTAGAAACAAAGTAGGTACATTATCCAGGTCTTGGTGACAAAGGTTATGGGCCATGACAAGGCTGTTTAAATATCCCATAGACAAATAAGTAAAGGTATATTGCGTACCTTGAAAGAAGGCAAATTGAGTCTGTGAAGCCTCAGTATAAGAACAGAATAAAACACATTGGCTAGGTCAATGACAGCAAAATATTTCCCAAGTGCCTTTGTCTTCAGTCATCTCAACAATATTGGATATGGGTGCTTTGATGGGAGAAACCACACCATTTAGATCATGATGACCAACGGTAAGCCTCCATTTTTTTTAATGACCCTTTTTATTTTCTTATCATTAAGATTTTACTTTCTAAAGAGACTTTTAGGCTCACAGCAAAATTAAGGGGAACATTCAGAGATTTCCATATATCCTCTACCCAGACACACATACTCTCTCCCACATTATTAACATCTCTCACCAGAGTGGTACTTTTGTTACAATAGATGAACCTACATCGACACATCATAATCACCCAAAGTCCACAGTTT